TTGATCGTGTAGGCTGCCATTTTATGGGCGGTAACACACTAACCAACTGACAATTCAAGATCTTTCGCTATCTGTGACCTATTCTCAACTCGGTGAAGTAAGGGAAATTCATGTAAATTGCCATTCCCAAGGACACAACGTTGGGTCCCCAACGGGATTCGAGCCCACGACATTACTACGGTTGCGAGTCCAAGCTAGAGCCTAACCACAGGTCACCGGGCCATCACCACGCGTGGGCATTTTTTTAAAAAAAGCATTTGTACACATGTATATTATGTATAGTTAAATATGAGCGTGGTTTTTTTTCCCTAAGTACCGTACTTTTTAATTTGGACGTTTAAAAAATGAATATATATATATGAAGGAAGACATGACCACAGTAACTGCAATTTTGAAAATGCAAGAATTGTACATCGGAATAGTGGCACAACTGCCGTTCTACATCGTCGGTGGTCTCATGCGTGAGGTTGAGGGTTTTGGGGTTCGAGCCGCGGGCCCGACGTTGTGTCCTTGGGAAAGGCACTTTACACGAATTTTCCTCACTTCACCCAGGTGTAAATGGGTACCCAGTCAAAGGCAGGGAAATATCGTGTTAGTATGTTAGTGTTTTAGCGCTTATAAATGGCTGCTTGCACTGTATGCTTCCCTGGAAGTTGAGGTTGTTTCAGAATGCTCTCAGGTCTGCTGGGGTAATACATGTAAAACCTTTACTTAAAAAACAAAGTCTTAATGAAAACGACATGAGAAATTTTAGGCCAGTTTCCAATCTTAAATTTTTATCTAAAATCCTGGAGAAAATCGTTTTGTGTCAAGTTCAACAACATCTAAAGGCCAATGACATGGAAGAACCTGCTTATAAAAGGCACCACAATACGAAAACCGCTCTTTTAAAGGTATCATCAAATGTTTTAAATGAAATCGATAATAAACAAGTCTGTGGTTTGATTCTACTTGATTTGTCAGCGGCGTTCGATACCATCGACCACGAAATTTTACTAAAGAGATTGGAAAAGTCATTTTTACTATCAGGTACTGTTCTAATGTGGTTTAAATCATATTCTAGAAAATAAATTTATGTCAGTGAAAATTGGCAGTGATATGCCGGATAGGTTTCCTCTAAAGTACGGAGTTCCTCAGGGTTCGGTCCTTGGTCCTGTCATCTTTACAATGTACACGCAAAGTCTGTCATCAATAATTTCATTATATGCCCTCAATTACCATCTTTATGCAGACGATACACAGCTGTATGGATTCACTACAACTGACAATGTACACAATCTCATAGATAGAATCGCCAAATGTATCAAAGATATAAGAAAATGGATGCTCAAGAACAAATTAAAATTAAATGAGGATAAGACCGAAATATTATTTCTTCGTAGCAGGGCCGCATGCAATGAAATCGACAATATCAGAATAAACATCAATGGCTACGAAAGATCAGCCCAAACTAAAATAAAAAATTTAGGTGTAGTGCTAGATCAATATATGTCAACGAAATCCCATGTATCCAATCTTTGTAAAAATCTATATCTCCAACTGAAGAAAATAGGGAGCATTAGAAAATATCTATCTGTTGGTGTCACCAAAACTTTAATAACTTCACTTATATTATTGCAATTCCTTACTGACTGGTGTACCCGATGAACAGTTACAACAACTACAAAGAGTACAAAATATTGCTGCCAAAATAATTACTAAGAAACTAAAGCATGATCATGTGACTCCTATTTTAAAAGAATTACACTGGCTCCCAGTGAAAGAGCGTATCATATATAAAATCTGTTTAACTTGCTGCAAGTGCTTACATGATTTATCACCGGACTATCTAAAACAGTTTTAAACACCCAATGTGCCTCCTAGAACGTTCAGATCATCAAGTGACAAAACAACTCTTGTTAACCCATTAATGACCAAGGTCAAAAAAATTAACTGATTTCACATAAAAAAATGTAACCGTGCATTCAAATGAAGAAACCATAACACATTTTGGAGTATTTCAATTTTTACAAAAAATTTATTCAAATTTTTAATTTTGGCCTTTATAAAGGACACTGGGCACGAATGGCCCCAGTGTTTCTCCCAGTCAAATGTCCTCTATAAAGGACACTGGGCATTGGGAAGGCCTATATTTCAAAGTCAAAGATCTTAGTAAACCAAAATTGAACTGTTCTAGGAAATTGTATCATAGAGAAATGTATGAATTATATGCATAATCATTCAAATTCAAACTTGTCAAACTGTTTTAGGCGATTTTTTTAACGTCCACAATATCCAAAAGATGGCAAACATAACTGCCAAATCTAGCATGAAATTGCTCAGCGCACCTCTGATGCAGTGGCACATTGCATGAACCACACAGTGTGTTGGTTTCTTTCCCACAGAGACTGCGTCGTCTTTGTTTGGGCTTTGATTTTAAGTGGTGGCATGGACCGCTATGTTGAATCTCTGGTGCTACCTTCCGCCGTTTTGCCCGCTTAGCTTGCACAACTGGCAAATGCTGCAGAGCTCTCTGTAGGCCAAGGTAGATCAGAGCCACAGATCTCTTGAATGCCAGTTGATCTAGAGGCAGAGTGCCATGAGCCGGTGACAACATGTACAGTAGCCACGCATTGTTGATGGCTACATCTGCCAGAAAGGCAAACAACGGCCATCACCACTTCTTTGATCGGATTGATATCCGACAGGTACCCACATTTTGGTCCAGGCGGTCAACACCACCTATGTTTGAGTTGTACCTGTTGATTAAATATGGCTCATCAACAAGGGTTTTTTTTCGTCTCCTTTGCTGACCACCTGGTAACACGGAACTGAGCGCTGCTTCGCAGTTGCCTTCCTGGTAAATCGTTTGATGACAAAGATTCTTGCACATCATCATTGACATCATCTTCGTCTGAACTCTGTTCATCTACTGGTGGAGATATGTAGACATCGGCTGAAGCAAATTCAGTATCATCATCATCTTCTGATTGGTTGAGCACTTCGTTCAATGTAAATGCCTTTGACCTTGGAAAAAATATAAAGAAGCCAAAATTTTTAAGAAAACACAGGATGTCTAAAGCACCTATACACCCACTTATACACCCTGATATGCCTAAACACCAACCTATATAAACAAACCTGCGTAAACCTTTATACCCACTTATACCGATACATCAACGTATTACATCTCAGTTGCTCACGTTTTGACCCCCCTCAGAATGCATAAGAATATGATTTAACACTAGATTCCCATTAGGTGGGTGACAAAAGGGAACCAAGACGAAATTATTAGGAGCAGAACAGATATTTATAGCCTATGCACCAAGGTATTATACCTATACATCCACTTATACCACCCCTCCTCCCCCGTGTACAACTTTTCCTTTACACTCACGTATAGGTATACCCCAAGAAAAAACCTATAACACACCCACTCTTAGCTGATAACACCCTCCACCCACCCCCCTCCCCGGACAAAAAATCCTGGAAAGCATGGGATTCAAACCGTGTACTCTCTATGCACCCGCTCACAGCTATATAGGCCTACACCCATTAATACGTATAGCACAACGCCCAGTGTCCTTTATAAAGGACGTTTAACTGGGAGAAACACTGGGACCATTCGTGCCCAGTGTCCTTTATAAAGGACACATGGATTTTTTATATTTTCTGAAAAAGTATTGATAGAATGATTACAACAATTGCAAGTATGGGTGAATGTAATATTTATACACATTTGCACAGCTTTGTTTTAGTTGTTTCTCAAAAGAATTTGTGAAATTACGGTCTTATCTTTTTGGTCGGGTGTCCTTTTCTGCCATTTTTGAAAGAGAGGAGGGAAAATGTACACCGCAAAAAACAAAAAGTGGATAGGAAATTAGCGTGAATGTAATACAAAAGAATAACCTCTTTACCAACTGAGGAAGCAAATCAGTAATGATTTGCTTGCATTAGTGCTCTTGTCCAGTCGATTTTTAAAAATGTCCTTTAAAAAGGACACTGGGCGTTAATGGGTTAAGCCTAAAATAAATTACAAATCATATGGCCATCGCTCTTTTTCATATTTTGCCCCACTTGTTTGGAATAGGCTTCCAAAAACAATCAGAGGAGCAGAAAATCTAGACATTTTTAAGAAGAAACTAAAAGCATTATTCTATTTTCATATTTCGATTAGACAGAATCCACCCAAGCTGTAGATCGTTGTGAGTTTGTATGTGCGTATGTGCACATGTACGTATGTGTGCACGTATGTGTGCACCGGTATGTGTGTGTGGTGCGTGCGTGCGTGAATATGTGTGTGCTCGTGTATGTAACACTATGTGCCTTTAAAATTGATTTGTAAATCCATAATATGTATCATGTTAAGCGCATAGAGCATTGCATAAGTGGATAAGCGCTATATAAATGCAATCCATTATTATTATTTTATGTAGTATAGATTGTGATGCGCATATAGAGCTTGCTGTTGAGTGGGAATTTGCGCAATACAATTGCTATTTTTATTATCTATTATCGAATGATAAAAAACCCCGCTTTTAGGTTCTTTGACAGTTTTCATTGAGTTAATATGAGCTCGATAATTGATCTGTTAAAAACTGAGCCCATTTTGGTCGACTTTAATTCACTCGCCTGTTATAGGCTATGTACATGAGTACGAACATTAGACAAAATCCATTTATTCGTTTTTATATTTTAAAAACTGTTCTAGGGGCATATATGTTTATAATATGGAAAGGAACAGAGCGTACGAGACTGCGTTCTTGTACTGTAGAGGGGTAGCTGAACTAGCTGAAATGAGGAAGGGCATCAAATCACATTCTGTATTTTATAACTATCAGCAATCCAAGAACTTGTCTAATCTTCTGCCTATTATATTATATTTTCTTCTTCTTCTTCTTCTTTTTTCTTTTTGAACAATTGGAGCCAAAAAAAAAAAAGAGCCAGAGAGCCAAATGGAATTATCCGGGCAGGACACAGTTCAAAAGAAACGACCCAAATTTCTGGGATTTGCTCCACACAACCCCGTTCTCCATGCTCATTGCTTAGGCCTGTACTGGCTTACTCTTTCCAGGGGGAGATAATTATTTGAGGTTCTAAAATTTTTGGAGTTATGTGCCCTAAACAGGAAGCAGGAAATTCTATCCTTGGGTGAGTAAACAGTCGTCTTTGCACTTTCTCCACCCTGCTCTGCCTCCCTGGGAACCCACACGAACATTCTTTCGGATTTGCAGAACATTTGATTGTTATTATTTCAAAGTAGATCTACCAGGTGAGTTATTTTCTCGGTTACTTACTTAGGTTGACCTGTAATCATCCTGAATTACTGTACTTGTCAGACTTGAAGATTTCGTCGGTGCGATAGTTTTAGGTTGTCGGGACTCGGGTCTGACGCTGAGTGGGGTAGGATCATGATCTTTCTGACTTTCTGAATCTGATTCTCGATTCTCTCGCTTGATTAAGAATTTTTATTGTTCCCCTAGATTCTAGATCTAGATCTAGTTTTGATAAATCTTCGGCTTTATTTCAAGTTGAGATGCTTTTTAAGAGAGAAGGTTGGAAATAGCACCCTTCCTCCGGGATTTGGATGAAGTCGACCAAAAAAAATCAAACGAAGTGGCTAGAGTGCTAGAGAGTCTAGATCTAGATCTAGATCCTAGGTCTAGATCTAGATCTAGATCTAGATCTAGAGTCTAGATCTAGATCTAGATGTACTTACTAGATCTAGATCTAGACTGCCAGTCTTGCCATACTTCGATCTAGATCTAGGCTAGGTTTGGGGAAGATTGAAGAATACCGGACCACTCATACTATCATACATATTGCGCGAGAAAGTGGGGTAGGTGGGGCGGGTTGTTTGGGTGGAGGGGGGGGGGTTCAGGGGGGGTCTCCCCCCTGACAAAATTTTAATGTATAGATCTACCGGTCCAAGATTCTCCATTGAGAGAGATCTATATTAAAAACGGGAAAATTATGAATTCCTAAGGTAGAGACATCTGTAAAGGCAAAGTGAGTCCGCTGGTCCGGTATTCTTCAATCTTACCTCTAGGTTTGGCCCTACGAAGTGACTATTCGGACTCGAGTCCGAATATAAAAAAATGTTATTCGGACTCTGATTCTTGTCCAGCATGACATCACTTCCGACTTCCGACTTTCTGTGACTCGTGACTCCGGCTTCCTGTCCTGCCTCACTCGTGACTCGCCTCAGGCTGGGTAGAGACCGGGATCACTTCGGGCAAAAAGGCGTTTTGTGCAGGAGTCGAGTTTTTATCTTATGATGAATTTGAGGCCGGCCTGAAAAGTTATAGCGCTTCTAATTTTATTTGTCAAGAGGTCATCAGAAGCAATTAAAGATGGCTCGTTAGCGTGTGTCGGGGTCGGATGGGCGGCCTGCACACGTGTGGCTGTGTTCGTATCGGGGGGCATTATCGGTCCGGGTGTTGAACGTCGCATACGCGTTAGTCTTTTTCCCCCCGGCAACTGATCATTATACAATAATAAGCTAATCTACGCTTGACGTAGATCTATCATGTAATGAATTGTGCGCTGGTCTATGGAATCAAAAGTTGCCGTGTGCTCAGCTCTGCACACAGCAACACAACTTTTTCTTGGTAAACAATCGAGAGGACACAGGCTTGTGTATTTGAATGAATCAGTCTTTTTTTTTTACACAGCTCTTAATATGCAGGTGCCAGGTGGTCTGCTTATCTTCAATTTTACCTTTTTTTAACAACAAAGAAAGTGGGAAACATAGGGGGTGGGTGGGTGGGGGGCGTATCAATGAGGCGGCGGGCGGCGGATCGGCAGAAAAGGTGTGGGGGAAACTAAAAAATGGCGGAAAATTGGAAGCACTGAACGTTCATTCTATAGAACGAAGACACTTCCTTTTTTCTGGTCCCGAGTCTGAATAACATTTTTTCATATTCTGACTCGAGTCCGAATAAAAGAATTTTTTTTATTCGGACTCTAGTCCGAATATGAAAAAATGTTTTTCGGACTCGAGTCGGGATTCAGGGGGGGCTTGCCCCCCCTGGAAACTATGATAAAGAAAACACAAATTATGCGAAATAATAACATGAGCTGACAGTCGTGTTGACATCAATGTAACAACAGTGAGTGGGGAGGGTTTCAGGGCTGGCAACAATAATTCAAAAACACACACACACACACACACACATACATATAAACAGTAACATGAGCGGATGATCGGGGTAGATCTAATTATATCTATGTTGGAACAGGCCGAGCCTTGCTTCGCAGCTCTCGCCAAGTCGCGAGCAGGGCCGAGGGGGTTGCAACTATGCAAATGAGTTCTCGTGCTCATCTCTCGCCCTCCATTGTACTTTGCTGGACCAGGAGTAGGCCAAGCGGAGTCGCGAGCAAATAAGAATAGTGGACCACGTGATTAGATTGACCAATTAGCCTCAAGCTGTCAGGGTCGTGGTCAAAGGGCACGGTAGCATTGTTGTGATGACGGAAAAACCTGGTAAGAGATATCAGATCAGTCGGGGCTGTCGAAGTGTGAGGACGTAGAAAACTGAGTAGGAGAGTGAATAAGTGAATAGAGGGGATAGCGGAAAGGAAGAATAGTGGGCCACTAGGCACCGGGGGCGCCATAGCGAAAGTAGTTCCGACCGGTAGTCTGGTAAAGTACAATCTTACCCTGATTGTCTAGCCATTCATGTACGACTAGCCTAGCTGTCTAGAAGTCTAGCCATACTTAAGTACGGCTAGCCTGCCAGTCTGGCCGTATTCTTAGGCCCTATAATTAACATTAGAGAACAGGAGGTCTCATTTAATATAAATAATTATTCAGGTTTAAAATACATGCACTGTCATTAAGGCACCTGGTTTCGTCTCAATATACAAATAGTTTAGGTACTGCAAACTAAAAATTTGTTTACAATTCTTATTCAGTAGGCCTATTTTTTTTTGCAAGTGGCTATTCAATAGATTAGAAGCTATTCTCCGGCGTCAAGCCGCTGGTCCACTTTTTTAATTACAATGTTTGTCGGCGCAGATTTTGAGATAAATAACAACTAGGCCTAGTAAGTCTACCTTTCATTATATTTTATCTATGGTAATTGTCTAGCGTAATAAACTTTATTCATTTATTTGGGTCGTCATTTGATTTTTAAAAAATAATAATTCTGTTTCTTGATTTTGTGTCTAAAATTCAGTCTAGTCATATATATGTCATATATTAGTTTAGCTTGATGTTTAACTTAAATTTCTTGTTGTTGTCATGTTGTAATTTTTGATAAATTTAACTGATATTTCGCAACTTCAGTGCTTTCTTGTCGTATCTTTCTTTTTGGAAACAGTGAAAAGTGACTTCTTAAATGTTCCGTCTTTGTTATGAACTCGCGTCACAAGTGGTGGACACGTTTCTTCTAGCACAGACGCTATCATAATTCTAAATTGGAGGAATTGAGTTAGTTTGTGTCTGAAAACCTATCGTCTGTATCACAATGGAAGTGGCACGAAGTGGTGAAGTTATGGGAATTTTCTTTCCCAAGACTAACAGATGAGAGGTATTAGCAAATCTGCGCCGACAAATAATTTGTTAGTAATTTAAGTAATAGAATAGACCGGCGGCGTGACGCCGGAGAATAGCTTCCGATCTATTGACTGGCGCGACGCCGGAGAATAGCCACTAGCATTTTTTTTGGTTTTGTTCAGTCTAGCCATCGTATGAAAAATAAGTATGGCTAGCCTCTTCCAAAATCAGATGGCTTGAAATGGGATTGCCCCGACTTAATTTTTACTTGAACTTGAGATAAAAAAAAAAAAAAGCCACACCATGGGTGGTTGGCCGGTGCTCAGGTGTGGTTTGCTCCTTCTTTCCTTTGAAAAATATATTGTTTCTAGATCTAAATCTATCTCCCCTCCTTCTTTTTTGTGTTTTTTCTATAATCTTCATAGGCCTACTTGGCCTTTGTTATGACCTTTGTCGTGTTGCAAGTGCTGTAATTTTTAACTCTTACTAAGACGACAGCGTCAATTGCCACAGAGTAAATTGGAGCTCTTTTTTTTTTTTGCGTTGGTGAGTAGACTCTAGATCTAGAGATCTAGCCTTAGATGTCATGTGTGTGCTCTAAAGTGCTCGGTGCCTGCGTTCGGGAACAACCGCTTACTATGCACACCTCTCTGTCCCTCTGCGAGTGTGTGTGTGTGTGTCTAGACTTTCCCTAACCTCCGTCCCCTGGATTTATGTTCCCCGGTATAAAATGAATTTCTGCTTGAATTTGTGTGTGTTTGTGACCTACTTCTAGAATCGCATGTGTTGGTTCTACACCGAAGCATAGGATAAGGCTAGCCTAGTTCTACGTCTCATGCAAAACGCACCAAGGTGTTCTAGATGTTCGTCCAATGAAATTAGTACAGAACAAATTGACCCACTTACGACATTAGGAGCTCAAAAGGATTGCCAGGAAACAAAATAAGTTTATAGTTTTGAATACAGTACCATTCATTGTGCAGGTAAAAAGAAGAATTTGAGTGCAAAACATTCGGAAATTGACGTAGATACTATTTCCTTTCAAACCCCGGAATTTGTGGAACTACTCGTTATAACTTGTATCAACTTATGAGAGGGGGAACTTATTCTATGTGTCCATAACACATTATGAATAGAAAGATAAAGATAGAGCGTTGTTTTCTGACTTGACACCGCCTCACTCGGTGGCAAATGACGCTGCTGTCAATTACTGCACTGTCAATTGCCACCGCTTCACTCTGTGGCAATTGATGCTACTAAAACTAAAACCCACACTCATCACATCACACAAACCGACCGAAGCCCTAGTTTAGTTTCATAGAAATCTGAAAGTGTCGCTCCAAAAATTGGAATCTCTATAGATCTAGTGTACATTCTAGTGTAGAGGCCTTCTAAGCTTAAAATTTTAATTTACTCAGGCCCGGGCTTTTGACCTCAATTCTAGCGATCTAGATCTACACTTCATTACTGTACACATGACGAAGCTATCTCACTTTGCACACTTTGGGATGCCTCTCTATCTTTCTTGATGAATCAAGCTTTTAATTTATTTTAAAACTTAGATCTAGTATTCTTGACTGTAGACTCAGCTAGGTCCATGCAGTCCAGACCACGAGTTTGAGGATGTTTCAGTTCTTTAAATAAAGTTACTATAATAAAATTAATTGGCTGTTTTTATTCTCCCCAATAGTATCCCCATTTTATTCTCACGCGGGTGATAATAATTATTGGAAGAGGCTAGCTGTACTTAATGACGGCTAGACTGCTGGGCT